TGCTAAGGCTGAGCCCTTCAGGGTGATAGCAAAAGCCCTGCATCTCACTGGATCTTGATATCCATACAACTCCATTTGATTTTTGTAGGTGTTGAGGTGGTCCACGTGATCTTTTGTCCCATCGAAAGCATCCACCTGCGGTATTCTGAACTTAGGTGGGAGCGGGAAGTGCAGCACCCCAGCAGTGAATGGGGACTCGGTTTGCTACACCAAGACATCCATAGTGACTAGGACCTTGCTCTTTACTACTGCCTTCATCTGGCTGAGCTCTTGCTGGATGTCTTTGAAACGTTGCTCCTAGTGGTGTTCTCTTCTCTCCTGTTGATAAGGGAAGAAGTCGTTCCTCTCCCTTCCTTATACTGACTTTGCACTTCCTTGTTGTGACCATTCCTAGGGGGTTGGCGAGGTTCTTGCCCCAAGTTCTGGCTATTCTCTCCCACCTCATTAACTTCTCTGAGGGGGTCGAGATGCAGTTGCTCCCTTGGTGGTGGGTTATTCTGGCCTCTTTGGGTCGGTTGCGCCTCCTGTGGGCATTGTAGGAGCTTTAAGAACTCTTTGTTTTGTTTTATCAGGCGTTCATTGACAAGACGAAGGGCCTCCATCTCATTATTCATGGGAAGGCCCCCCATGGGGGAATCTATTTCTTGCGCGTTTTCGGGTTGTCTGCTATTTGCGGCTTCCTGTCGATCTTGCATCCGTAGAGGGTTGGTATGACTTCGGCTCATGTTTCGCGTTGATACCATCAGTCACTGAGAAATCAGCTTTATTTGTAACAGGAACAGTCTTTTCCACAGACGACACCAAACTGATGGTGTATTTCAACGTGAAGCCATTTTTGTGATAACGAGTAAATGAAAGAAACAATATTGAAATTATTGGGATCTGAGCTATTAGACTCGAGAAAATTGTTGGGGAGTTGGAGAATTAACACAGTAGAAATATAGTGGTTCGCCTGCTTGGGAGCTTGGCTAGTCCACTCTGGAATGGAGGCTCTTACTCATTTTCTTTCAATAATCGTCATTACAAGGTTACAATGACTCCTTTTTGTTTCTAGGGTCCTTCCCCCTGTTAGGAGGTGTTACATTGCATTTATAGGGTCATTCCCTGCTAAGTGGGATCATGACCGAGATTCTTGCCCTTACTTCATGGGGTTCTCCCTAACTTTTAGGAAAAGATCTTGGTTGGGTGAGATTAGGTGTCTTGATTATAGCTTACTAACGCTTTAGGAACCTCTCGTGATTATCCAGTTGTTGCTTTGGTTGTCATTGTCATCGCTTATCTCGAGGGTACCTCCAGCTCTACTCTTCCGAGTTCTGCTTGCCTACCTCCTGAGCTGGCACTTGAAATTTATTTTGAGGTATTATCATATATATATAAACATACATTAAATTAAAAAAATTAAAAATTTAAATTAAAAAAATATTTTTTTTCATCTTAACTAGGAGTAAAATTTTTTGACTCAACACGATGATATGACTCGAGCTCGACACGAATTTTATGACACGAACTTGAAAATGACCTGACATACGAACAAGAAATATAAAAGACTCATAATTTTATGACTTAACATGAATCTGATATGACACGATTCGATTGTCATCCATAATATCAGCTAACACAAAAAAAAAAAAATTAGTTATTTTGATTTTTCATCCATTCAGCCAAATACAAAAGAAGGAAAATCTATGATTCCTACTTTTCATCCTTGAAGTCCATCCATCCTATTTTTTATCCTTCCTATCAAACGGAGCATTATGGTCACATCTTGATTTTGTAAGATTATACATCTAATCGTTCCCATTTACCTTTTTCAACTTGAAAAAAAAAATAATAATCAAAAAGAGTACTGATTTCATGGTTAATCAAAATTTTGTCAAAGCTTTTTTTCTTTAGCCGAACTCTTTGTTAGATGACTCGAAGGTATGCCCCAAGGGCCTATTTGGTATATTTTTTTTAGGAGTTTGAATTGATTTGTCCAAACTTGAATTTGACCCAAAAATGAGATTTAACATTCAATATTTTTCATACCCATGTTTGGTATGCGTAATAATATATGACTATTATGATAATATATTTATATTTAAATGACTATTGTACCCTTTAATCAATTTGTATATATGAAATATAAGATATATGAAGGTATAAATATTATTTGTATGTTAAATTCATTAACCCACGTATGAACTCACCCGCCTTGGGTTATGACCGAGCCGAATTTCAAATCTTAAATTAAATTCATAGTTGTAAAACATGGGTTTAAGGGAGTTTAATCCCCCCACAAACTCACGTACCAAACATGCCCAAAAAGCAACAACTTTAAGTTACGGGAGAAGATGTCATACTGTTGGACAGAGCCTCAGATTTTCGTTTTAAGTAGCATATGAAAGATTGTATTTCTGAGTTTACAGTAATCAAACACATACAATCACGGCTTATTCTCTACCAAAAATCAGTACATGAACATTTTCCAGCAATGAAAGTATGAAAACGAGAGCGATCTCTCACCACAATCTCTCTCTCAAAAACCTGGGATATAGCCTTCATAGCAGAGTGACAATCTTCACATATTCGTAGATTCTTGAATACTCGAATGGGAGTACCCTCCACTGTACTCATTAACCCAAAAGCAACAGCCAGCTTTTCACTATGCCAAGATATTGCTTGTTCTTTCTCTTCCTCACTCAAGTCAAACAGAACTTGATTTGTGATGGGAAGGTAACCACCCTCTAAACTTATTCTCTTCATAACCTCGTTTAACTTATTGTTTATCTCCAAAATCTTAGGATGCAACCGATCTGCGGCAAGAAATTCATGAACTGCACCATCAATCTCAATATAACTGCAACCAGGGCTTGATTTGATCTCTTTCTGACTCATGGCTTTCCTCACTTTGATTACACTGTCCCACTGGCCCATAGACGCATACAAATTGGAAAGAAGTACATACCCTCCGCCATGAGAACCAGGATTTAGCTGAGCAATGTACTTTATAATTCTTTCCCCAAGTCCTACATTACCATGAATTCTACAAGCACTAAGCAAGGCTCTCCAAATAACAATATCAGGTTCCATGGGCATGCTCTTGACCGCTTCAAAGGCACTTTCAAGCCGGTCGGCACGACTAAGAAGGTCTATTAAACAACCATAATGCTCAAGCTTGGGCACAATCCCCCACAAACGCTCCAGATCATAAAAAATTGAAAGACCCTCCTCAACTCGGCCTGAATGACTGCATGCATTTAGCACACCAAGAATAGTAATGTTATCTGGTTTAACTCCTTCCCCTAGCATATCCGAGAATACTTCAAGAGCTTCCTTACCAAGCCCATGCATGGATAATCCCGATATCATGCTCGTCCATGTGTGGAGATCCCTTTTACCAATCCCATCGAAAACTTGTTTTGCACAATCTATCCTCCCACATTTTGCATACATATCAATTAAAGCAGTTGAAATATTGGGGCTTTCTAGAGTCCCGGTCTTGTCCATAAAAACATGTATCCATTTCCCTTGATCCAGTGCCCCAAGATGAGCACAAGCTGATAGTACACTTACAAAAACTGCCTCATTAGGCCTAACCTTATCATCACCCAACATGTCATTGAAACATGTAAGCGCATTGCTATACAATTCACGCACAACATAACCCGCCACCATTACCGCCCACGAGACATCATTCTTTTCCGGCATCTTTAAGAACAATTCTTCGGCTTTTACTATATCCCCACACATAGTATACCCTCTAACTAAACTAGTCCAAGTTATTATATCTCTATAGGGCATTTCATCAAACACCCTCTGACCATTAACCATTCTTGACAAACTTGCATACAAATTAACCAATGAATTTCCCACAAATAAATTTGAATCATACCCATTTTTAAGCACCATTGCATGAACATTTTGGCCATAACCGAAGAACGTAGATTCGCACGAACAAGCTGTGATGACAAAATTGAAGGTATATTTGTCTGGATTGGCAAAAGTGGACCCATCAAGAAAAAGCATTTGTTGGAAGAGATATAGAGATTCTTGTGAGGTGGGTGTCTTGGAATAGGCTTGTATCATAAGGTTCCACAGAAATGTGGGTGCTTTAGATGAGTAATGCTCAAATACAGTTCGTGCAAAATAGAGGTTTTTACAGTTAGTGTAGGCCTGTATTAGATTTCCAATAACAAAGGTGTTTTGAGCTAAGGCTTGAGTGATGATTTGGGCATGTATTTGTTTAGTTTGGGTCAGTGATGGCTTGTGTTTTAGTAGTTCAGAGAGTGTTGATTGGTTAGTGTGTGAAAATGGGGATTCTTTGGATAGTTCGTGGGTGATCGAGAATGGGGATTCTTTGGATAGTTCGTGGGTGATCGAGAAGGTGTTTGATGAAATGAAAAAGAGAGGTGTTTGAAGAGGTTTTGGTAGGGCAAGGCTTTTGATGGTGAACGATAAAAGGGGTTTGGAACGTAAGACAAAGTGCATCTATGGTTAATGTAGTAGTTGATCTCCTAACAAAGCATATTGTATCCAATACGAGCTTTGATGAATGCAATATGTGAACTTATAGTGAACTGTGAGAAAGTGCAAGTTTCATGTTCATGGATGCCCTGACCTAAGTGGTCTATGGTCCAAAAAATTGATTTGGGAGCGAAGCAATGAACATGTTCAACAGCATTAATACAAGTACAGATGTACATTAGTCCATTAGGCCGCCTCACACGCATAGTATACATTTGTTTATCATATATTTTGATACTGTTTATTCACGACGATTTCTCATATTTAATGGATCTTTAATCACGCATATTGCAAACCTGGTATTGGTCATGGCCTATAGTTGCATATCCCATGATGAAATATATGTTCGATTCTATCACTAGCAATAAAATAGCAAGATTTGGATAGTATTTTCTTGTCTTATCAAGTAAATAACTGAATTACAAAGATAAACCACCATCAACACTCGCCAAATGAATTCAACGTCAGTGGGTCATAGCTTTCAAGGTGAGATAAAACGAAAATGTTGAGCATAGTAATGTTTGTTCCAACAAAAAACACAATAGAGATGGCAAAATGTACGAAACAACTGACTATTAAGGAACAGAGACCCCATACCATACAAATAACCAATATCAAGCTTCAAATAAGCACCAGAACAAGAATTTTGCGCTTACATGGTTTATTGAAAAGACGATTGTTGTTATTCATATAAATCACACGGGGGGATTAGCGGAAAACTGATAATCCTCTACTCAAAATTCTTGTCTCAACAACAAATATATAGAGGCAACTAAGTCTCTCTCCTTTTATACTCTTAACCGTCGCATCTGACTCTCTCTTCAGAAATTTTCGATGTGATAGAAGATCAACACATTAGGATGAAGCTTCTTCGGCAAAACTCAGGCTGCTGTGTTCTCAGTCACCACTTCAACTTGCTCGTGCTTGACCAGTTGGCTAAAGTTTCCCTTTTGCTTGAACAGCTGGGAGTGATGATGCCTACAGTAGAGTCGATGCTCATGGGCTACATAGTTTGATGGGCTGATCACACAGCCTCCGTGGGCACACTTGAAACAAGCCCTATGGTATGAAGTGCCATCAACCGCCACCTGCAACATCAGCAAGGAGCCATATATACATGTATCATATTCAAGTAGTTAGATCAGCTTTGTTCCTTCAGTTTTGATTTCATATGGAATTGCTATCAATTACCTTTTCAAGCGGATACACAGTTTTCTTGCAAGCAACGCACTTATCTTGGGTTCCAGCAAACATACTTGAAACTTTGCTGCTGGTATGGCCCTGAGCAATTCCCTCACAATAAGAAACAAATTTATTATAAACACTCAACTGAAAAATTATATAAAATTTGAAACCTGTCACAAAAATTTGTCAGAAAGAGATGACACACTAAGCACTGCAATACCTGGTCAGCAGATCTGTCAACTCTAACAGTTTTTGGCGCACCTATAATACATAAATGGGCTTATAAGAGCACGTTAGAGGAAGCAAAAATGCAACAAAACGACTAAAAAATGAAGACCACCTTCAAAACTCTTATCCAAGCTACCAGTCATCTTAAACAGTTGATCGAAGTGAGGCTTGCAATATAATACTCCCTCAAAAGAGCTATAATTACTCAGCTGCAAAGAAGATAAATACATAAATTCAGTGATATACTGATCTCCAAGTCATATCTTTTATGATACTGCAAGGGAACACACTAAGTGCCCCTGCTTCATAGTACCAGGGAAAGATGCTTTTAAGCAGAACCTTGGCTAACATAAACGGTCTTTCTGCTACCAAAAAACACACACATAAATCACTGAAAATAAAAGCATGGTAGACCTCATCAGGTTTTGCATTCTAGAAACACTAGAAGCCTTTGTGAACAATCCAAAAACCACATCCACACAAATATATAATCATAGACTGGTGCATTTGCCCAAAGTTTGAATTCATTACACATCATGGCCTGATAGGGAATTCCTATCTGTTAATCTCCTATGAAAAATCAGCTAGTGGTTCACTGATGGCGGCTAATCGAATAAATCTCTGGCTTATGTTAAAGAAATGGAAAAGAAATATGTCATACGATCCACATTAACAGGTGCACTGATTCAATAGCTTTGACTGAGTCTACAACAAAATGACTCCCTATTTACCTCACACAAGCTTACATAGAAACACCAAAATGACTTGATTAACCTGATAAAGGTGAGTGACATTCAACAATCTCTCTGTTCCAATTGTTCTTGTTAATTGCTTCAGCTTTTTAGCAAAGCTGCGACTATTTGTATAGACATTTCAAGAAGCCAGACATACGGGATAATGTAGCTGATTAGCAGAGAACTATAGTCACATTTATAGTACAAGCTAACAAAGATGCTGCATCTCCCCTAAAAATATCGCTATATCAAATCCAGGCTCACAGGAACTGGCAATAATTTTGGTAAGACTTGCACCTAACCATTTTAAGTTCATGTCTGAGTCGGTCAAAACATTTGTAGAAGATATACATTCAACAAAATAACAAATCTAAATCACAATGGCAATGGCAACTGCTTATATCAGACTTCTTCTCTTTTTTCAAGCCACCACGACACTACATACCAAATAACATGTCACAAAATTCACTGGGTTTTGGGAAAGAATTGTACAGCATTACAATAATTGTATCGTATTACTAATAATTGACAGAAATGATATCCTTTTGGATCCAAAAAAACCATCTAAACCCACCACCAAAATGAAGAATATCACTCAACAAATCACAAGTCATGGACCGTCAATTTTCTTAAAAGTTAAGTCAGATAAGCAAATCCGACAATTAGATACTTGAACAATCACAAGTCATGGACCAGAAACTCATCTTTCACGTACGGGTCATCTTGATTAGAAAGTATCATCTTCATATGTATGACAATCCTGATTACCAAACACAAGAATCTAACATTTACAGACCCTTAATAGAGACAATTAACCAAAAAGCTCCAAACAAACTGATCATAGTCAACTTCAAATTAAATCGATATCAGGAAAAAAAAATTGATCTTTTGACAAGTAATCATATCAAAAGAACAACACTTAATATACCTAAGAGTATAATTCTGACAAATAGATGCACCCCTTAATATGCACACATATTGAACACAGAAATGACATGCAGAAGAGTATGACAGATGAAATCACCTTGAGGGTGCCTTTGCAGTGATGACATCTGAAACAAGCCTTGTGATAGACTTTATTATCAGCTGTGAGCTCATCCACCAAGTACACAGTCTTCTCACATGCCTTACACTTCTGGGTAGTTCCTCCAAACGTTGCCATATCTCCAAATCTTCAACCTCCACAGGATCAGACTCTACACCTTGAAACAATGATTGAAGAAAACTGATGAACCTTCTTGCTGATGAGAAGACTCTCTCTCTCTCTCTCTCTCTCTCTCTACAAGTCTTCTGTGAGTTTTACAGCTCACAGAGGCAGAGAAGTAGTGCAGGCGTTACCCTCGCTGTCCACATTGAAGGGCATTTTAGTAAACTACTCTCCAGATGGTCAGATTCGAACATTTCAGCGGTGCTCAGTGGGAGTTCAAAGGTTTTATCCCACTCTCTCCCTAAGAGCGTGTGAAACAAACTAAGCTAGAGATAGTGTAAAAAATGAATAATCGGATTTTGATACTGTAAATTTATTTTGCTAGTATTTATAAGAAAAAAAATTATTAATAATTTATTCTTTTTTATTCGTGGAACTAATATTATTTAAATTATCATTGAATAAAACAGCTTTTGGGCTTAATTTGTTAGGATATCAATTGGGTATATTTTTAATTTGTGAAACTCGTGCCTATATAGTAGCTAACTTTTTTTAGTCAATATTACTATAATGTAATAAATAAAATAGAAATAATTGTAAATAGGACTATGGAAGACAAGTTTAACAAAAAAACAAAAAAAGAGTGATTAATTTCGAGAGTAATTGAAGTCCTAACAATAATGAATTATAAACTCAGATGATTTTAGGCCTTCAAACATAGATTAAATTCAAATTGTGAGAGATTTATCCTTCATAAATATTTTATTCTAGACATGAATGACTTTCCTTTAAATAAAATTAAAAAAAATAATTAAAATATATATAAATTAATCTGAATACTCTAACTAAAAAAAATACTCCTTATGAATGAGGTGGGAGATAGGAGGGTCCAAACTAGGCCATTGAGTGGATCCCACCAACGCACTTATAAAGCGAGTGTGGTGTTATTGTAAGTATATTTTTTTTTGAACCGTAAATATTTTTGGGTGTGAAAAAAAGTTATTCTTTAGTAAAAAAAATAACTGGCTTTCCGTCATTGATTTAGAAAGTTATATTCTCACTAATGATGTTATTTGAATTGTTTGGCCATTTTTCAAAATTGAGAGAGAGAGAGAGAGAGAGAGAGGTGCATGCACATGTACAACTCATACTCAACTCAATCATGCTATTCAAATTTTTTATTTAAAAAAAAACACTTGTAGCTGCTTTGCTTTTTTGTTTTATATTTATCTAGAAAAGTAGTTTGGGGGTTGGCTTACATATATGTCTTGTGGTGTGATGATAAGCTCACTTGAAATCTTTTTCTTCCCCCCCCCCCCCNATTTAACATTTTAAATAATTCAACATAATTATAGAACATCATTGCATAATTAAAAGCTTATCATCTACAGCATAATCTAACATAACATAATTCAACATAATATAATTAAAAGTATGTCTCTCATGTAAATATAACACAATATCATGCAATTCAACATAATATAACATAACATAATCTAACATAAAAAAAATACAAAAATAAAAAGATCTACATTTTTACAAGCCCAAAATATGAAGAAAAAAAAAGTCAAAAAACAAAATAATTTTCAAAAGAAAAAATCATTCAATAATATGTAAATTTGTATTTATAACAACATGTGTGTATATATATATATATAGTAATCCTATTGGAACCTAATTTGTTGACCTAATTCACTATGATCTTTAAATTGAGTATAAATTCATTAAATANAAGTCAAAAAACAAAATAATTTTCAAAAGAAAAATCATTCAATAATATATAAATTTGTATTTACAACAACATGTGTGTATATATATATATATAGTAATCCTATTGGAACCTAATTTGTTGACCTAATTCACTATGATCTTTAAATTGAGTATAAATTCATTAAATATTGAAACTTGGTGTTGATCTAATGGTTTCACCAAAGTCACATCATTATGTCAACAAATTAGGTCAAATTTTTAAGTCAAAATAGTATTACTCATATATAAAATAATAATAATAATAATAACAACGGGTAAAATAGGGCGAAGGTAAGTGTTAGTCTATTTCCGCCTTCATTTCCGTACGAGTTTATATGGGTATTCTCGTATACGTCTACCGTTCAATATGTGTGGTCCATTATCGATCCAAACAGAATAAATTTAGAAGAACACTCGTTTTTATCCGATCTACTGTCATCCCTAAGTGCAACTCTTATGTTATGGCTTGTCTTNTGAAACTTGGTGTTGATCTAATGGTTTCACCAAAGTCACATCATTATATCAACAAATTAGGTCAAATTTTTAAGTCAAAATAGTATTACTCATATATAAAATAATAATAATAATAACAACGGGTAAAGTAGGACGGAGGTAAGTGTTAGTCTATTTCTGCCTTCATTTTCGTACGAGTTTATACGGGTATTCCCGTATACGTCCACCGTTCAATATGTATGGTCCATTACCGATCCAAACAGAATAAATTTAGAAGAACACTCATTTTTATCCGATCTACTGTCATCCCTAAGTGCAACTCTTATGTTATGGCTTGTCTTTTTATATTAGTCTTCGTTATTAATTGTCACCAAAATGTTTGTGGCACATGTCACGATTGGAAAAGATCTACCAGCATTAATAGGGTACAAAAAAGTTCAAATTTCAAATTTTGAACTGAGGGTGAAGTTGAATGACAGTATTTTGTAAACAAAATTATCCTCTGATCTCCTTGGTTTGGGGGGAGAGATTTTGTCCGAATCTATAAAAAAAACCCCTCCCCCCGGATAATAAGGTAAACTTCATAACTAGTGGAATTCTCAATTCTATCTTTCCTTGATGTCAATTTAGAGCGAGTGGANGGGATTTTGTCTAAATTTATAAAAAAAAAACCCCTCCCCCCGGATAATAAGGTAAACTTCATAACTGGTGGAATTCTCAATTCTATCTTTCCTTGATGTCAATTTAGAGCGAGTGGAACATCTATAGTAAATTCAGACTAAATTCAATCACTTGGCAAGGGGGTTAGGATGTATTTTTAAGTGCATGTTTATTATATTGGTAAAACGGGTTCATATTCTTTTTTGAAAAGTCAGTCATACTANGAGATTTTGTCCGAATCTATAAAAAAAACCCCTCCCCCCGGATAATAAGGTAAACTTCATAACTAGTGGAATTCTCAATTCTATCTTTCCTTGATGTCAATTTAGAGCGAGTGGAACATCTATAGTAAATTCAGACTAAATTCAATCACTTGGCAAGGGGGTTAGGATGTATTTTTAAGTGCATGTTTATTATATTGGTAAAACGGGTTCATATTCTTTTTTGAAAAGTCAGTCATACTATTCTACTTTAACTAACGATGAACTAGAATTTAGATTTATTTACAGTATTTTGTAAATGAAGTTATCCTTTTATCCCCTATCCAATTGAATTTTCAAAAATTCAGTTTAGGGGGGAGAGATTGCAAAATTAACCATTATAAATGGAAAGTTCTAAGTCGAATTACGTTTTATCAAATTTTCACCCAAATTAANCGTACTATTCTACTTTAACTAACGATGAACTAGAATTTGGATTTATTTACAGTATTTTGTAAATGAAGTTATCCTTTTATTCCCTATCCAATTGAATTTTCAAAAATTCAGTTTAGGGGGGAGAGATTGCAAAATTAACCATTATAAATGGAAAGTTCTAAGTCCAATTACGTTTTATCAAATTTTCACCCAAATTAATATGACTTTTTAGGTGTGAAAAGAGTTATCGTTTATTATTTTAATTATCGAAAAGCAATTTCATACAAGGATGTTGCATAAGATGCTGAAAGGATTCACGTGGGAAAATGTAAAAACAGAAAAAATAGACTCTTTTTTTTTTTTTTCTGTTGCTTTTCTTCTGTTTAAATAAGTAGNCCAATTACGTTTTATCAAATTTTCACCCAAATTAATATGACTTTTTAGGTGTGAAAAGAGTTATCGTATATTATTTTAATTATCGAAAAGCAATTTCATACAAGGATGTTGCATAAGATGCTGAAAGGATTCACGTGGGAAAATGTAAAAACAGAAAAAATAGACTCTTTTTTTTTTTTTTCTGTTGCTTTTCTTCTGTTTAAATAAGTAGTCACCTCACCGCACCTCACCTCACTCTCGGCCAAAAGCCAGATTCAAACTCACACTCACTTCTTCATACAAGTTTTGGTTCCACTAGACAGAGGAGACCGAGTCAGGGACCCAGTTGGTGGGGCAATGATCCTGAAATTACTACAAGCCAAAATGAAATACATTGCATTGCAGTTGTCCTCATCAACAAATCCAACTTGAATTTTCTTGTGGGAACACGTGGAAGTCGAAAATATTTATTTCCCCAGTCACTTGCCTTATTAAATTAATTTCTAAAAATTGAAACAGAGGTGACTGCCGCTCTCTCTCTCTCTCTCTCTCTCTCTCTCTCTCTCTCTCTCTCTCTCTGTGTCTCTGTGTGGCCCATAGATGGGGTCATTTTCAAATGTTCAAAGGGACGTGGCGGCTCATATAGCTTGTTATGTGGTTGATATTAATCTAAATTATTTATTATTTATATTAAAATTTATTAATTTTATGTCTGATTCTCATCATAATAACATGTTGTGTCAAAAATTACTATACTTTTATAAAGAAGAAAGTATGGACGAGGTTCGATTCCTTGACATATGCTTAGAAACAAACAAGTCCAGAGCCTAGTGGGACTTGGGATATTCAAATTGGTCTTTTGCTCACATTTACATTTTGATCTCATTTGTAACCGAAACCAAAGCTTAAAAAAGCTTTGTCAACCCATTTCTGTACTCTTTTAAGTGTAAGCGAAATTGGTGAAAAGAATGCACATTAATGTTCTGATTGAAAAATTGAATGATAAAAAGTTAAAAAAATGAAAAATTAAAGGAATAAATAAAACATTACGTTTGGTAAAAAAGGAAAATAAGAATGATGAAAAAGTGGATAGATTAACTTTCTTTTTAACTCATCAAAATCAATCTCATTAAATTCGAAAGGAAAGTGGATAAAAAGTTAATTATTTGTGTTGAGATGTATCTTATTTGTCTATANGGATAAATAAAACATTACGTTTGGTAAAAAAGGAAAATAAGAATGATGAAAAAGTGGATAGATTAACTTTCTTTCTAACTCATCAAAATCAATCTCATTAAATTCGAAAGGAAAGTGGATAAAAAGTTAATTATTTGTGTTGAGATGTATCTTATTTGTCTATATTTCTTTTGATATATTCATATATTATGTATACATTAATTTCATATAAAAATATAATGATAAAATATGTATATATATATATATATATATATATATATATTTTTTAAAAAAATTAAATTAAAAAAAATATTTTTTCCATCTTAACTAAGGGTGAAAATTTTTAATTTAATACGATGACACGACTTAAACTCGACACAAATTTTATGACACGAACTTGATTACAACTCGACATGAACTTGAAAATGACCTGACATATGAACAAAAAATATAAAAAGTTCATATTCAGTTGAACCAGTCAAACTTAAAATTAACACAATCAACCCGTTTATCTAAAAATAAACAATTTTTCTATTTTTTCATTTATATGATAATACGAAACTAACATGTTTAACTAATATTATAGATATAAAATATTAATTATTTGTAACTATTTATTAACTACTGACTTAATTATTATATAAAATATATATTTTTTCTTATTATTATTATATTTATTTAAGTTAATTTTTAGTTTGTAAAAAAAATATTAACATGCATTTAATTAAGTGAAAATAAAATATTAATGTTAAATTTTTTATTTAAAATTTATGTGGGTCAATACAAATACGAACACAAATATGACATAAAAATAAACAGGTCAACTTACAATTCAACACGACACAATTAATTAAATTAATTAGTGTTAGACACAAACCCGTTATAACTCAACACAAATCTGACACGACCCGACCCGATTATCACCCCTAAATCCTAATTTTAGCCAGCAGAAAAAAAAAAATTAGTCATTTTTTTTTTCATCTATCGAACTAAATACAAAACAAAAAAAATATATTATTTCTACTTTCTTTACTTAAAGGATATAAAATATATTCTTTTTACTTTTCATTCTTTCTACTTTCCATCTTTTTTACCGCACAGAACATAAGAAAAATATGCCACCTTTAGGCCTATTTTAACCTTGACCTGTATATGTACATATCACTTTACGATCACAAAATAGAATTCCGCCTTTTTTTAATTTGGAAGATCCCACCAGAGTACCAACTCATTAATTTACCCTTAGAACTATCAGTCATGGTATCTGCTCGTTCTGTTTCTCTTAACCAAGTTTGAGCACCTGCTCGTTGCGTTCATCTTTCGACAGTTGAATAACTGCAGAGTTATTACTGCAGATGAAGGACATGTGTCACCTTTAGACTTCAATATGAACATTGATGGTCATTAAAAAGAAAGAAATTTCATGCTTAGAAAAGCCCATGAGAGCATTCTCATTCCACTCATCTTACAACAGTTAATGAAGACAAGAACACCACCACATGCTACGTTCTATCAACATTGACTTTGGATAGTTTCAGTAGTAGTATGCCAGCATCTGGAACTACCTTATTTTCAGTACGAGCACCAAAACAGAACAAAAATGGAAGTGTTCTTGTACTCAGGACATCAAGATGACTTTTTCCCTCTCTCATTGGCATGATTTTTAAAGATAGAAGCACTAACTTTGCATTCCGGAAAAGCTCAGTGACTGTCACCACCACCACCACCACCACCACCACCACCACTTCCACTTCCACTTCCCTGTTTGCGAGCCTCTTCTCGCATTACTGCCTTAACATATATCTCGTAGCAACATCCTGCAACAATCAATATAAGGTTACCAAAAAAAAAAAAGAGCAAAGCCTGACATCTTTGACTTTGTAAAAAGCAATCCCAGAATGCAAGTTTTGGCAATCTAGATTACCTAAAAGATAGTAACAAATTCACAGATGTAGTTCCATATGGCTTACATGACCAAACAGTAAAATAGCACTTTGAAGCGATCCCTCACACAAAGAGTGGGAAGGTTCCATGCCATGAAGGTGCAGACAACCAGGGGAAGCCTCCAAAGATTGTGGATACCACTAGATAGTGACAGAATACATGATAGTGTATAATATCAACAACTTACATGATACTTAGCAGAGCAGAAAGGTTTAAACATTCTTTCAACTGCCATAAATTGAATTTGCAAGATCTCAATGATGTTTACAGTGGGGTTTCTTGTTACTGCTTTAATCAATTTGTGGACGGGATTCATTTGCACACAGCAGAATGATGTTACATATAAGATATGTTACAAATAAAATGCAGGAAAATAAAATTTTTCATGAGATCTATAAAAAACATGAAGTATATGTGCAGTCAAGATAAATCTCATCTCATATTTGCTAAATTTGTATTTGTATAAGTGATTTGTATAACTGTATAATCAAAACTATTCCATATAATTGAGAAGAAATCATAGTTTTACTCAAAAACAAATGAAGATTCATTTATGCAAACTCTAATATAACTTGAAAGTTTTCTATGATTTTGGAATTTTGTTGGACTTCCTTTAACTAAAAGGATATTGATAAACTTTTCTTCTAACCGAATGCCCAAGGCGAATCTTCCTTTCCTTTTCCTTGTAGGAACTCCCACAATAACAAGAAGGAATATATACACAAAATGGAAAATTCCAGAAAATAAATCCTTAATTTGTTCTCTTATTTTTCTTCCTATATACCTGGACAAAAGTTTCAGTTTTTCTCTTTCTTCTACTTGTTCCAAATAAGTACAGGAAAAGAAGAGAAATAACGTAAATTATCAAGCTTTCATCAGCGTAAGCATAATCGAAACACCGGCAAGAGAAAGAGTACAATGAAAATTCTGATTGCTTCTGTTTTACACTTTGCAATAGCACAGAGGTCGAAGGAGGAAAGTAAGGAGTGAACGACAGTGCAGGCATGTGACTTTCATGTGACAAATGAAGCTAAAATGGAGTTGACTGAGATGGGGGATGGTGGGAGAGAGTTTGGGAGTCAAGCGAGAAGGAGAGAGTGAAATTGCTGCCAGGGACAAAGAGGGAGGAACAATTGGCAAGGATGGTTGTGGTGGCGGAGCGGTTTGTGGTAGGAGTGGAATCTCTTGCGATGACAAGAGATCTATGTACAAGAAATTGGGAAGATGATGATGATGAAAACACGGGAAGCCGTGTAGTGGCTAATTGAAGAGCAGTTTTGATTATCATGTTGTTTGTGTATATATGAATATATGTGCGTGAAGAATTAGAAGGAATTTGAATGTAGGGAGAGAGAACACACATGTAAAAGTTGAGGGGAGGGCTTTAAAAAGGTTAAGAGGAAATGAATGGATGCCTATGAAGACTGGGGGTTTTGGTTGTTAGAACACTAGGATACAATAAGTCATGCAGTTAGTACTTAACTATTTTCTTTCTCCCTAATTCTTGGGTAGCCATTTAATTTTAACAATGGTAGTACATTATTCTGGATGCATTGAAAACTAACCAGCAGTGAGAAGGAAAAGGGGCAGATGAATGAGTAACCCCACCTACTGAACAAATAAATGTACAGTAGATAGAATAACATTTATTTTATATTTACTTATATGGATGGTAATGTAGATATTTGAGAGATGTACAGGGCAGAACAACGAATCAAAATCCTTAGGAAGAAACGGACACTTGGCAGTTCATCCATTTCCCTGAGTCAGAAAATTTACCAGTTAAATGAACCTGCACATAAATGCCAGATGGACCAACAAAGGGTTGTGAACTTTCTATGATGCATCAATTTAACTGCTAAGCAAAGATATAATAAGATTCCAAAACAAGGTGTTTTGCTAAGAGCTTAAAATTTTATATAGGAAGAGTGAACATGTGACGAGCAAAAAAACTTGTGAACTTCACCTTAAAAATAGTTAATGACAAGAAAGAATGAAAATTCTAATTCTAAGGATTGTCAAATAACTACTCCAATCTGAAGTAAAGAATCAAAACAAGTTATATAGGGTATCAAAAGCAAAAGCATGGATCAAGTTTTGAATCTGTATATGAGTTTCTTGCAATCTTTTTAGGCAGTTACATTTGCAAAATAAACAGCACATTCAAATTGAGTGAATAGATTAACATACCGGCTACAACAACAATAGTTAGAACATCCCCCAGTCTCTTAAGACGCCACACACCTTTCTTGTGTGATTTGAAGCGCTTTAGCACTGGGTCCTCAGCCAAAAGCTGCAAAATATAATGAGCACAGTCTAAGAAAATTCACAAAAAAGAAAAAAAATGAGAAATCAGATGTTAATAGTGCTGCTCGGGTACAAATCCATGTGCAAAGTGTCGAGCTTCCTCAAAAGTCGAAAGTCTAATACACCATATTACATCATTAAAGATCGATGTAATAGGTAAAACCCTTAGTCTCACATATATGATCTAAAGATGGGTTCTGGACAAAAAAAACCAGAAAAAGAATGGCTACAAAAGCAAATTCATAATCACACTTTCCGCCAGCAAAAGCATAATAATAATATCAATAAGGAACACAAATGTTCTTGCTCCGTTGTAAAAAAGACACTTATTATTAGGAAGCTTTATTGGTCACAGGTTTTGGGAGGACATCATAGACATGTGGAAATGAACTAGTATATAGAAGTTGTAATCACAAGAGGCCTTCAACTGAATAATTGTTTGTGATCGCTTGTAGAAAAGTAAGGATGACCTAGTGTCATGGCAACAAAAGAGTTGCACCGTAGAGAACAGAAAATGGTAAAAGGAAGCTATGAACCTTAATTAAGGATGAGGTCAAGTTAAACTTATGTTGGGAATAATACTAAGAAAAGCAAAAGCTTTGTAAAAGCAAAGACACATTCGAGGGTAATATATGAGCATTGCCAATTGCCAAATTTAATACAAATGAATGTCTGAATCTACGTAACCAATGCATAGAGAAAAGACCACCAAAAAGTCTCAGTTTCCTTTATTTATTTTTTTATAAAAAACCTGGCCCGAAAACCAACGAAAAAGAGTTTCATGAGGATAAGCAAATTCTATTAAACTTCAAAATTATGGATTTTATGAGAATTAAAATAGCAAAGTTGGATTGGAAAATTTGAACCCCGGCCCCAAAAGTCTTTTGCATTAGGCGAAAATTTTGGAATGTTAGGTGATTAGAAATGACACGTTTTGATCAACCAAGCTCGTCAATTACATAGAGAAAACTTGGTTGGTGTCTTTGGCTGGGGGGGGGGGGGGAAGTTCGATCAAATCCCACATAAATAGAACGTAAAAATTCGAAGACAAAATCAACTCAAGTAACACCGTAATAGACTTCCCTTTCATGTTCAAGAGGATAATTTCGATCTATTGTGTTTGTTGTCTTGCATTCATATACCTCAGCATGTTCAGTAATCCAATTCAATTGATTACATCTATGGAAAAGAAATGTAATAAGCAAATGGATATAGCCTCATAGAGAGAAGAAAAACACTCACAGCCTTCTCGCGAGCCCCTGGTTCGACATGAAACCCGCGTCTCGATAATGATAGCGAATCATCAGCCTTCTGCGACAGCTCATAGCACAAAATCTATCAGACTTAGATCCAGATCGATGGTTACAGATATATTTTAGAGAGAGAAGTACCTGGGGATGGAGACGAAGCTGAGAGAAGCTCGTTTTGTTGAGTAAGAAAGCCATCGTTGGACAGGGAAAGAAAGTAAAAAAGCTCGCCTGATGATCTGATGTTATTTCTAGGTAAACAAAATGTAATGGGATGGATATATATATTATAATTAGCCCCCCTAAACTATACAAACTCCAGTCCCACACCTAAATAAATGGATAAATTATAATTTAGGCCCCACAACTATACAATATCCTACCCCCACTCATAAATATTGATTGAGTTTATCATTTTTTTTCAATTGATTAAATTGGTTTCACGGTACCCAAAAATCACATTTATTATACTTAGGGCAAAAAAATAATAATTTGTGTCATTAGATCTTAATCTATCGAATTATAACTGTAATTAACAACTACGACAAAAAATTGAAATAAATTGAGAATCCAACTTCTCACTAGTAATATTAACACATTTAAGAGGTCAAAATAAAGGAAAAAATATTTTAGCATGTTTTAACCAATATTTTATATCTATTATACATATAAGACATCTCTTATAAGAAAACTAGCTATTTTCCGTGTCTGAAGATACAGAGTAATAAAAAAAATAGTCAATATATTTGTATTCATATCCAAAATTAAACTACAAACATAGAGGAAAGATAAAAAAATTTAAGCATCGATTGTAGTGGGGGTGAACGGTAGTAGTGGTGGTGGGCGACAGTGGTAATGATGAGAGACAGTGATAGTTGTAGTGGGTAAGGCGATAACCGTGGTGGTGCTAGCAGCCATGGGGTGGTAATGGTGATGATGGTGGTGAGTTTTGAGTGACAATGATGGTAGTGGCAACTGTGGTGGTGGTAGACGACAATAATAGTGGTTAACAGTGATAGTGTGGCAACGATAGGTGCTTTTAGGCGTCAATGTGATGGGTGATTGCGAATGACAGCGATGGTAAGTATGGCGGTAGTAGGTGACTTGCAGTGGTAGGCGATGAAAGGTGGTGGTGGGGTAGGTGATAGTGGCTAGTGGCTAGTGGTGATGGTAGGACAATGGGTGGTGGTGAGTGTTGACGGTGGTAGTGGAATGATGATGGTAATGGTAATAAATATAAAAGTAACATAACGATAATGGTGAGTGGTGGCCATAGACGACGATGGTAACAATCGGTAGTGGGTGACGATGGTGGTGATAGGGCAGTGAAGGTGGGGTGGGGGTGAAAGTGGGGCAGTGACGATGGTGGGGATGGTGGTGGTAGTGAATCTTGTTAGGTGGACTTGAAAATTTTGTTAGGTGGTCTTGAATTTTTTGATCCTCCTTTGTTTTGAGCTTTGATAATTGGCACCCCAGTAATTTGTAGTTTTAATGCAATTGGCTCCCCAGTAGTTTGTAGCTTTGACGCACAAAATCCTGAAAAGAACAACAATTAATGCATTATCCTTTATTCACACACTAATTCTAATTTGATTTATTTTGACTAGTTTAACTTTATTCAACTAACACAATTTACCTATTAAATTATGCCTTAATTAGGGTTAATCANTATCCAAAATTAAACTACAAACATAGAGGAAAGATAAAAAAATTTAAGCATCGATTGTAGTGGGGGTGAACGGTAGTAGTGGTGGTGGGCGACAGTGGTAATGATGAGAGACAGTGATAGTTGTAGTGGGTAAGGCGATAACCGTGGTGGTGCTAGCAGCCATGGGGTGGTAATGGTGATGATGGTGGTGAGTTTTGAGTGACAATGATGGTAGTGGCAACTGTGGTGGTGGTAGACGACAATAATAGTGGTTAACAGTGATAGTGTGGCAACGATAGGTGCTTTTAGGCGTCAATGTGATGGGTGATTGCGAATGACAGCGATGGTAAGTATGGCGGTAGTAGGTGACTTGCAGTGGTAGGCGATGAAAGGTGGTGGTGGGGTAGGTGATAGTGGCTAGTGGCTAGTGGTGATGGTAGGACAATGGGTGGTGGTGAGTGTTGACGGTGGTAGTGGAATGATGATGGTAATGGTAATAAATATAAAAGTAACATAACGATAATGGTGAGTGGTGGCCATAGACGACGATGGTAACAATCGGTAGTGGGTGACGATGGTGGTGATAGGGCAGTGAAGGTGGGGTGGGGGTGAAAGTGGGGCAGTGACGATGGTGGGGATGGTGGTGGTAGTGGTGGGGTTGGCGATGGTGGTGGTAGTTGTGATAGTCATGGGGGGTGTTAGCTGTGATAGTCTTAGGGGTGGTGGTGGGGCAGTGGGGGTGGTAGAGGTGATGGTGGGAGAGTAGCGGTGGTGGTAAGGTGCGACAACGGTGGTAATAATGGTAGGGTGCAGTAGCGGCGGTGGAAGTGGTGGTGGTAGTGGGTAGTGATAATGATGGGGTGGTTGTGGTAGTGGTGGGCGGTGGTGGTAGTGGTTATAGTGGTGGTGGGACAATGGAAGTGGTGATGGTGGTGGTGGTGCGTATGGTAGGGTGGCGATAGTGATGGTAGCGGCGACGGTGATGATGGAGCGGTGAGGGTGACGGTGGAGGCGATTCTAAACACTAATTTTTTTTTAAAGTATTTATGAGAAATAATTCGTACAAATACTTTTAAAAAAGTCACTTCAAACACACCCTTAAGGCCTATTTTTTTCATTAAATTTAGAAAGATAATATTAGCCGTTAGATTAACTTTAAAGTAAAATTTAAAGTGATCTTAACCGTGAATAGCAAAAATAATTTTATTCATCTTTTGAGATTTAAAATGTATTATACTTTATTATATAAACTAGTTTTCTCCTGTGTCTAAAGAAATAGAGTAATAAAAAAATGATAATAATAAGCATATTTGTATTCACACCGAAGATTAAATTACAAAAATCGTGGAGGGAGAAAGGAATTTAAGCACCGATTATAATGAAAGTGAGCGGTGGTAATGGTGGTGAAAGAAGGTGATGGGTGATAACGATCGATTGTGAGGATAGCAATCTTGGGTGGCAATGGTGATGGTGGTGGTGGGGTAGTAGGGGGTGGTAGTGGTATGGGTAATGGTGGAACAGTAACAATGGTAATAAGGTGATGGTAGTTTTGACGTGGGGGTGGGGGCAGTGGGGGTGGTGGTGGTAGGGTGGCAACAGTGGTGGTGAGGCGATAGAGGTGGTGGTGGTTGTAGGGTGGCGACAGTGGTAGTGGGGTTGTAGTGGCTGTAGTAATGGTGGTGATGGTAGTGGTAGTGGCTATTATGGCAGAGGTGGTGGTGTGGTGGCGACGACGGTAATGGTGGTTGAAATAAGGGTGGTGGTGGTGGTGGTTGTTGGAGTAGTGGTGGTGGTGGTGGTTGATCGATTCTAAACATTATTTTTTATTAAAAAAAAGTACTTATAAGAAATTATAATTTCTAGAAGTATTTTTAAAAAGTTAACCCAAATACATTCTTAGAAACTTTTTTTTCTATTAAATTTGGAGTGTTAATATTAACCATTTGATTAACTTTAAAATAAAATTTAAAAATATCTCAACCACGAAAAACAAAATTCATTTTGTTTATTTTTTGAAATTTGAATTGTATTGTATTTTATTATATAAACTAGTTATTGCATGTGCCTCAAGGCACAAAGTAATAAAAAATGGTAAATAATAAACATAGTTATATTCATATCCAAATCAAATCACAAACATAGAGGGAGAGATAAATGAATTTAAACATCGGTTTGTAGTGGGGGTCAGAGGTGGTGGTAGGAGACGATAATGGTTATGGTGGATGACAATGACCATGGTGGCAGCGACAACGGCGACGATGGTGGTGGTGGCAGCAGTGGTGATGATGATGGTGGTGGTGATGGTGATGGTGATTTTGACAATAGTGGTGGCTGCGATGGCGACAACAGTGGTGGTGGCAGCGACAGTGTTGGTGGTGGCAGTGGTGACGGTGGCGACGGCGAAGGTGATGGTGACGGTGGCGATGGTGGCGGTAAGAAACGGTGAAAATTGTGGTGGCTGACAATGACCGCGATGACGGTGGCGGCGACGGTGGCGATGGTGGTAGCCGCCCCCGCGGTGATGACGATGGTGATGGGGGAGGCAACGGTGGCGATAGTGGCGGCGGAGGTGGCGGCGGTGATGGTGGTAGTGGTGGTAGAGGTAGTGGTGGGACGATTTCAAATATTATTTTTTGTTAAAGTATTTATGAGAAATAATTTTTAAAAATATTTTTAAAAAGTCACTTCAAATATACTCTTAGGGTCCTATTGTCTCTATTAAATTTAGAGTGTTAATATTAGTCGTTAGATTAACTTTAAAGTAAAGTTTAAAGAGATCTGAACAGCGAAAAGTAAAAGTCATTTTATTTATTTTTAAAATTTAAATTATAAATTACTTTATTATATAAATTTTAAAATATTTTAAGATATTTTCTTATATTTTAATCATGAACTCGGCCCGGAATCTATAAGCAACGTGTAAAAGTGGTTACTTAGAAGTCATTTGGATGAAGCTGGTGTTGCCACGTATACAAGTTCATTTAGCCTTCTTCCTCTTTCCATTCATCAGTTCGTTAGAGTGAGTGAATGAACCACAAAACAAAAGAAGTAAACAATGGCGATTAGAGGTGCAGCTTCTTCAATCGGAAGACAAACAAGCACATCATCTCTGCTCTCGATTTCAGGATATCTCCGAACTAGATATCATGGTTATGCTTCAAACCCTCTTCATAGATCACTTTCATTTCCCCATTCCCAAACAGGTAATTTATCAATTACGTACATTTGTTATGATTCTATTGATTTCTTTTTCTTTCTTGGTTGTATTGAGTCTAATTCAAACTGGGTTTAGTTCTTTGCTGCTTTGTTAAGCTTATGAGAATTAAAATACCATATGTCAAACATAGAATGGAACAAAATTTGTTGGGTTGTTAAGGATTTGAAATTTTAAAATTTGGGTAATTTTTTCATGTTAATGTTTTGTTGGTTGTAGGATTTAAGTATTCGATTCGCGCAATACAAGGGGCAGCAGCAGATCCTGTAGCTCCCAAGAAAGAAGACGAGGAACAATTAACCAAGGAATGGAAGATTAAAATGCTTTACGATGGCGAGTGCCCTCTTTGCATGCGTGAGGTGCAATCTAAGTTACCCACAATTGCATTCTGGGTTTTTATTATTAATGTGTTTTGAGGGGTGAATTCTTCAGTTGTTCTATTAATTTTTTTACTAGGTAACATAGTTTCATATAATTTCATATTGGTGTGATTCTATTGTCAGGTCAATATGCTAAGAGAGAGGAATAAGAGCTATGAAACAATCAAGTTTGTTGATATAAGTTCGGTTCAATACTCTCCGGAGGAGAATCAGGGCCTTGACTATGAAACTGTAATTTTTTTTCACATTTATTAAGGCAGTATCTAATTTTTTTTCTATCTAAATTCTCTTCAACACGCCTATAATATTCAAAACACTGCCACCTAACTTTTAAGACACTCATATTGCCTATTCTTTAGTCATTTATACATGCAATACATGGTAATCTAATACACATTACAATAATTACTTGGGCTTTCCAACCCAAACAAGGTTTAGTAAGTCTCAGTTATAAAATAACATATATGATTTTGAAGTAAAATAGTGGCATTTAATAATGATCTGAAGTTTACAGTACAAAACAACAAAGTTCATAATGTTTTCTTTTTTGCAAACTGTGCACTAGTTTGGGACTACACCTTGTGTGACTTAACATCTGCACCTTAACACCTTATTAACTTCTTGCATCTATTTCCATTGTATGCCTTAATGAATTCATAGCATGAGTAATGATCGAGATTTAAGTCTTTCTTTGACATTTGGCATCTACAACTTTCTTGGGCAAGGCTATACGGAGATATTAATACTACAGAAAAGTGTGATTTTAACTGATAACCGGCTCTCATATTGTCATCAACTCTTCACGAATTGAAGGCCGATTTTCTAATATCAACAGGTGGCATCCTACTATGGACTTCTATAGCATAAGTTCGTGAATCTGGATTTTTGTTGTTGTTATGATTGCTTAAGGTTTCACAAATATATTTTCAATTGTTCAGGTTATGGGAAGAATTCATGCGATCCTATCTGATGGAGCTGTAGTCACAGATGTCGAGGTACACCCCTATAAGATTGTCATAGCCTTAATAATTTCTTCATGTTTTTTATAAGATAAAGAGGCTAAATTTTCAGTTAATCTAAAACTACTTACATAAGATGTGGTGTCTCTATCTTACCCTTATTTTCCTCTGTTGTATGCATGCTGATTCTTGTTAATTTAGCTTCAATGTCCATGCACCTGAATTAACAGACTATTTTGCTGTAAAAGTGAGGCTTGCCACCTTATTAATATTTGTCCTGTCATCTCCACATATCAAAAGTCGAAACTCCAATTTTGCCACTGCACTCTTTGAGCACGATTTTCTTCAAATGATTATTGGTTGAATTTTAAGCAACAATTAAAAGATTTGAAGAAGACTCTTAGTTCAATTTTTTTCAAGCACATGTGTGGTGCTTTCACGTGTTTATGATTTTGGAACAAGTTGAAGTAAGTGAAGTTACATACGACCATACAACTATTCAATTTTGCTGGCATTAATTTATATGCTGATTTTGTGGTGATGCGAAAGGACTAGAGGAAGTGGATAACACGAACATTGACCTTTCATTATTAGATAATTCTGCATCTAGAAAATAATTGAGGAGCCATCTGCAAATTTTTTGTTGTTCCTAAAAGTTGAAGCTGTTATTCTTTTGTTTGGTTTGAAAAGCACACCAAGAAACAACATTTCATTATGAACTTGTGCAGGCATTTAGAAAACTATATGAAGCAGTTGGTCTGGGATGGGTTTATGCCATAACCAAATACAAGCCTGTGAGTGCTCTTATTTACATTTGAGTTCAATTGATTCGTCATCGTCTAGGCAATGTGAACTCATCAGAAAGCTTGTTGGCATCTTCTTATCTGGGAATTGTGCTGAAAATACATTATATTAACAGGTTGCAACAATAGCCGATGTTGTGTATGGTGTTTGGGCTAAATATCGTCTTCAAATAACAGGTGCTCCCTGTTTGCTCAACATGTGTTGATTTTTGTTTTTGTTTTGGCGATACATATGCGATCATCTGCTTAGCATGTGTTTTGGGTACTGCTCTCCTTTCATATTTTCAATTATCGGGCAATAGTTTATAGCTGCTCCATTGCAGGTCATCTGCTAGGTTGAGAGTGAACCGTATCCCAAATTTATTTTATCACACGAGGCCATATACTTTTGCCACTTCCCAACATGTGATGCTGGACATATGTTCATGTGACATACTTCAAATTATGCTTCAGTTAGTTACATCAGAAAATCACAAAAACGTGTACTTCTTCTATGTTATGCAGATGGCTTCTGCTATTTTGTACTAGTTTTCAGCTTTAATAATGACAAGTCAATGATTTTTCTGATTACAGGCCGGCCACCTCTAGAAGAAGTTCTAATGGCACGGAAGAAGAAGGTCTGCAAATGCAATTGCTATAAACTCCGTTATCTTTTCATTCTTGAAGAATTGCTATAATCTCCATTATCTTTTCAGTCTTGAAGTGTCATGAATTGAATAAATGTCATTGTTACTGACTTTTTCTTTAGAAAACTTAATACCCCACGGGGGAGGGAAAAACTCAAACCCGTGTGGCTTGTGTGGGTGAGAGGGTTCCCTTCACTCGTCTATCTCCTATCTATCCCTCCAACTTCCCAACTTTCCATCCTTCCAACTAACAAAAAATTGATGCAACAATCTTCCCTTGCAGTGTGCGACTCCTGTACCCCTGGAACCAAGTCCAATTGTTTCTTTGACTGGAATTTGAAAGTGCAGTTTAGGTGTAATAGAAGGTTTCACTTAATCTTCTTACAGAGCAAGCACTGGAGTGGTGTGGAAAATAAGATGGAGATTGTTCAATAACTTATCCTGTATATAAACTTAATTTTTGAATCTTAAACTCAATATAAGACAACTAAGTAGTAAAGTAAAGAACTAAAGGAAAAAACTTACATTGCTAACTAGTATGGGATAGAAACCGATATCATCTGCAGAGGCTGTCTTCTTCTCAGATCTTTTTCCTGTCCTTGTCATAGAACTAGTTTCAAGACAGCACTCCTATGCATAAGCATTCTAATATAATAATTTTTTGTTGCAAACATTCAGAAGTGTTTAATTATATCACATGAGAAGCCATGCTTAAATGACTCAGATTTTTCCATTTTCTTTTTCCCTTACAGGAGGAACTATGCAATGACAACAAGGCTTGTAAAACATAAGCTGCTCTTCAGTCATTTTGCTGGTTCTGATGAGTAAGGATGATGAAGCTTGGATTATTCTGTAGGCTGTAGGTTATCCACTTGCTTCTTCCATGCTTCGCCAAGCGCTCAAGTCCTTGGCCACAATATGGAAAGCTTGACAGTGCCTCTGTCCATTACTCTTGTTCCCCACAAAATTCAAACTTGTATATTCAACAATACTTTCCCAGATCACAGTGACTTTGCTTGTTTAGAGGGTATAAAAGCTACAAAGATTATACGTTTATATTCCAGCATTCAGTATATCAAATCGTATATGCTCTTTTATTTTGTCTTTCCTTTCAGGGAAAGATTCCTGCTTTGGTTTCCATCAGTTTGATGAAAGACGGACATATAATTCATTGTTTCATGTTCCAACTTTAACTGATACATCCACTTATGTAGGAGAATAAAAGACATTTGACAATCTAATTCCAAAACAAAAATAAACGACACTAGACAATATAACGACAAAATGAAAACAAACATGAAGTCCAGCTAACAGAACTATGCCTCACACATTTATTACTTACACTTTGTGTGGCATCTGAAAAAAGCTCCAATTTGTCCAACCTTCACACAAGCTATATGATTGGGAAGCAGTTGATTGCATTGTACATGTCATATGCTCGAACCATTCTGTACAAGCACATTAGTAGAGTCTCTGCTTTTTAGCAACATTGTTCCTTTTTAAACTGACAAGCTTTCTCGTCTTGAACAACCATCTCAGACCCTTGCATATTATTGCCCATCTGGAAAGCAGCTTGCCACTAGTGACAGCTACAGCATGGACTGCACTCTGTTGATTAGAAACTGATTCCAAACCATGGTTCTTGAGGACAGGTTCAAGATCACAATTCTGAAAAGGCAGCCAGTTTTCTATGTCCCCATCAGAAAAAAGAGGGCCTAGATTGTAGAGGTCGATGTTGGTGTCGTTGCCTGGGACACTCAAAGATGGGTCACATTAGTATGGGTCATATCAGAGTACTTGTAGACGATCTGGGAAGTATGGGTGAAATGATACCTGGAAACGATGTACCAGGTTGTGTAGGCTTATAATGATCATGCATGTCAGAAGTCCCAATGTTGCATACATTGGAACAATCTGGGTTGTTGAAGTATTGGGGGTAAAGACCGTCAAATGAGGGCAAAGAGCGATGGGCAAGAGAAGTATAATGTTTACACGTCTGAGCATGGTTCACAGTGGCCTCCCACCTCTTACCAATCATACTCTTGCCAAGGATCTGTAGAGGTACAAACAAACAATTACTGCCATTACTTCATGTAACCAACGAAAGTGAAATTGCTATTCAAGGCTATAAACAACCAGATGTTGTTCACGTATAAACCAAACTTCAATCACAAATATCATTATATAATAATGTACCTACATAGAAAGCCTGAATTTTACTATAATTTCGGTTTCATTCTGGCCCTTGGTCTGCACCCCTAATTTTTTATGAGCACGGAATCCTTCATACAATTCTATATACCAAGAACAGAATTGCATAGGTGTCTAGCAGGAACATTAGGTGCTCACGTCAGGAACCTCAGAAAATTTGAGTTTAGATGTAAGTATATTAATGCCAACAGAAGGTCAACTACTATACTTTGGGTGCTTTAATTGCAGGACACAGTAGCTTAACAGAAATATGCTCAGTTCTCGCAACTGAAAAAAGCAAATCCGATCATAGTTCACGCCAAAGTCCCTTTTGAATCAATTATCTTAAGTAACAGATTGCAACCTTATCTTTTCTATGTTCTTGACAAAGGAGATGTGCAAAATTATCAAACGGAATTTTGCATCAGAGTCATCATAGTCATATTTGGAAAAAAAGTGGGGTAATGTTAGGGTTGGTTCAAATCTTATCCCCCCAACAACAAAAAAAAAAAAACAAAACAAAACAAAAAAGCCCCAAGAAAGAGATAGAAAAGACGAACAAATTTTGGCATATTCAACCTTTAGAAAGGCAACACGTCTTATAATATTAGAATGTAATGCCTTGACAAACATTATTTTCAGAGTGAAGTGTCAACAAGTTCACATACAATTACTAGTGATCTTAATCTTAGGTAAACATATGAGGAAAGAGCAAATGAATTCTTACTTCTTGTAGCCTTTCATGGTTCAAATCATATTGCGTTAAAAAATCCTTCACAGTTCTGATGTTTTCTTTGCTCAAATGCTTGTGGAAACGACCACCTTTCTGAATATTTTCTAGTCGCCATACTTCATCTGATAGAGATGGGGGGTAATGTTTTTTGTTCACTGCAAACAGCAACCACAAGTTATGTGAGTGTTTCATTCAATTTTTCACTTCGGAAAGTTATTCAGATGACAGTAGTAATGATATAACCTTCTCTGTGTGACTTTCTGTTTGTTGTTTCCTAATCTACGCAAGAAATGTTTTTGAGACAAGATAAACAAATTATGTAAATTTTAGAAAATCAAGCAGATTGTTGCAGTCATTCAGATAAAGTCCCAAATCCAAAAAAATTTCCCCTTCTAAAAAGAAACACACCGTGCATAACATGGAGTTTTAGAAGGGAAACTACCTCAATCAAATATCAACATGTTGCAAGAATATCCATAACTGTGCTAATGAAAGATTCGATGAGTGCTTTCTTTTTCAAACATTTCTCCGGCGTCTGCAAAAGGCTGGTTCCTACTGAAGATTACATAAATGAGTTGGAATGACATCCTAAAAATGATAGTTTTTTTCCATTCAAGAATAAAGCCTTTTTTGCTATGATTTACTCGCATATTATCTGATCCCATCAAATTTCAGTCTGAATTTCAGCATTTTGCTTTGAACGTCAACACTTCTTCCTTGTTCCAAAGTGCCTTCTACACTACGTAAACATAAAACAATCTACAGAACAAATAAAAAGATGAGGAAACTGGCATCCTAGTCAAACTCGATAAATCGGGTTGCAGTCACACTAGAACTTCAACAATCTACAAAACAAATTAAAAGACGAGGAAAATTTATATATAATCTCAAGCAAAAACATTGCAAACTACTTTTAAAGAACATGTATCTAGACAAGAAGTAATTCAATAATTTTAAAGAAAACATATCTACATCTTTTAAACGTTCAAAGGGCATTATAATTCTCAGTTACAATCACTATATGCATGCAGGAAAAAATATTCATTACAACAGTGATACCACATGGTAGCTAATGTGGTATCACCAACTAATAATATCAAAACAAATAAGTAAATGGACCCCACAAAAATTAATAACCAACTGTTCATGTAAGCAAATAAATCCTCACTCTTCTTCCATGTAAACCAATAATTACCCAAGTGGGATTCACTTTGTCTATGTGTTTTATTATTGGTCGGTGATACCACATCAGCATTGGTGACATGGTATCACCGTTGCATTGAATATGTTCTCATCCATGCGGTATGTAGCACTAAAACATATGACTGACCGATCATAAGGGTAGCCTGAGACGTGATTAATCATCTCCTTGCGTATTAAATATAGGCTTACCTTGCACTACACCATATATGTTCACAATTTTTTTCCAAAATCACCCTAGTAAATTTGTTTACCCAGATGCAATCAAGAAGCTAGATGGAATTGAATAGGTCAGCTATTGGCAATCACAAGCAAGAAAATAGAAAAATAGTTACTTCCACGGCGATCCTTAACAGTGAAGGGTTCTGTCTTTGCCGCAATTATTCTTCTTCCATTAGAATGATCCACGACTCTTGCCCATAGCCTATATTCACCACTTCTCCTCCAGACGTTAGTATGTCGGAAGTAAATCTTAGGAACTGAACCGATGCCATCTTTCAAATGCAGATATCGTTTTCCACCTAGCAGTGATTTTTTTCCTTCACTTCCACCGACAATTTTACTGTTGAACTCTTCAAGAGTCCAACTTCCCCCTTCATCGACACCAAAATCTCCATCAACCACAACAATTTCCACCTTTGCTGAGGCTTCTGGACCAGATGTAACAACTTCCCCTGTAACAACATCAAGTAAAGCTACCTGTAAGCTGTTCTCTTCTCCTGCAACAGGAATTCCAGTGAACACCCGTGGAGAGATATTGCCCCAGAACTGCAATTTTAGATTCCCTGATTCGGAAGGATGTATCTCATTGCCTGAGTTCCTGAGGAAGAAGAACACGGGAATCTCAGATATAATAGTCAACGGATAAGGAAATTAAACACGATTACCTTTTAAAAACAAAAGGAAAAGAAAAATAATAAAAATTGTATTATTACTCACCACTCTGCAATGGTCAAAATTTTTTCTAGTGCCAATTCATATCTCTTTTTTCCCTGGAAAAAAAACGTAGCACCAATGAGATACTAGTGATACTTGTGAAAAATTAAATCAGACTGCAGCAATCTGCGGAGCCATAAGCCACACAATGGAAATGTGGGTTCTCATCAGTAATACAAAAGTGATCATTGCTGTAACTCATATCTTGAGTGCCAGAAGACTGATATTATCCACTTTAACTCATGGCTTGAAACCCTAACACACACATATGCAAAGAAAAGAAAAGATCAAACGAACAAAAGCAACTCTTGAAACCCATTATCAGAGTAACTTACTAGTTCCAATCTAGTTGGACTCAATCAAGAGTTCTAATCATTCAATAGTAATGACAACTATTGAGAACATAATATGATCTACATCCTTAAAGTAATATCACAAGGGCTCACTCAATGTGCCAGGGGGCGGGGAGACTATCATCAAAGACTCAAAGTAAAGTAGAATAAAATGTAATTAGAGTCATTTTGTCTTCCCAGAAGATGTATGAGATAAAATTTGAACGCCCTGTATAACATAATGGAAAGAGCTTAAATTCATGGGCATCAAGATACCTTTCCCAAACAGCTAAGACAAATTAACAGGCTTCGTTGTAAGGTTAGAAAGACCACCAAATTTGGATACTAGAATGCATTCCAATATTACACATAGCATCCCCCTGTAATTTTTTTCCCACTGCATATCGACTGTACACAAGTGCCCTGTCCTATTTTTGGGAACGATAGGTGGTAATCCACTAAGAAAAGTAAACTAAATATAATACTTTCATCGACCATATTGACACTTTCAAATGCATACAAGCAAACTACTCAGGCTTTTGATGCTCTAGACCCCAAATCACAAATGACAATAGAAGATGAACCATACAGATAGCAAAAGTCAACAGAACAAACTACATCTAAACTGTCGAATAAAATTGATTCAAAACAATCTGCAATAATGAAGAAAAACATCCACCGATAAATTGATCATCTCATTATTATTCCTGTTGAAGGCTATTCAACCTTGGAACCATGGCCACATCAATGGCTATTCACTCTGAAGCCTTTATCTTAACAACAATCTACACCATCATGACCATTCCTGCACACCGTCAATCATCCAAATATCCCGCTGAGAAAATCAAATCCCAATAAAGAGAAAACGGACTCTTCTTAATTTGAAAAAAAAAAGAGCTAATTATCTTTATAATAACAATAATTGCTCGAATTTATTGTTGTCATTGATGTAAATTTAAGTGAAGCAATTCAACAGTAAATTGTAGATGGTGACCTGTGAGTGGAAGGAAGACCTACGTGTAGATTTTAGCAAGTATGCCAGAGAGAGAGAGCGAGAGAGAGAGAGAATGAATGAATGATCTAAAAGTAATTTAAGTGCAATAAACCATTCAGAACAGAACACGAGTATTCATATAGATGACCATAGGGTGCAATACAAGATCGTTTCCAACTGTTCGGAACAGTTACCGACCACTGGTAACAGCCAACAGAACAATCTCGATTCTTCTCTCTATCTCTTCTATCCCACCCATAGGCATTAGGCCCATGGGAAACCCTAAATCACCCATCAAAGCCATGTTTGAATACTAACAGAAACGTATTAAAAGTCTAAAACCGAAAATTCCTCTGAGATGTACATCCAATGATAGTGATACACACATTCTCATAGACATAACATCACCAATATGCATTTAGACATACACAATTACGTAAACCCATATGCATTTTCACCCAAAACACACACACAAGTTACCGTACCGAAAGCTGCCCAATTGGTTCTATAAAACGCAGGAGCTTCTGCCTCGCCATCACCTCCATAACCACCCTGAGAAACCTAGAACACGAACACACACACACACACACACAAAATCAATACCCAGAAACAATTAAGCCCTCACAAGTCCTCCACGCTTCCAACAACAATTACCATTCAATAAATTAGCAAAACCCAGTTCAGTAAAACGATTTAGTTGTCAGAATACGAGTAATGCTAGGATTTCAAATGTGGGATTTCAAATTGTATCCCAAATCAATATTGACCGTTGGATTACTCGTCCGTTAACTCTTTTGCAACGAGACCCCCTCATCCGAGGTCCTATTCGTGGAATCCTTTTTTTCTTTTTTTTTTTTTTCCGATGAAAAACGATAGATATTGTCATTAATTCACAGAAGAGGTTATTAGATTCAAGCACCAAAAATTCAGGGGAACTGTCTCCTCAAGTAACATTTCAACATTATTAATACAACTCATTTCTAGACAGACGAATCTATGAGAACGAAATCCGAGAAAAATACATAGAATATTCCTAAATTAAATCAACAAAAGGCCAACGTCTGAGAGATTCTTTTGTGTTTGATTAATAGCTTCAATGATATTTATTGAGTCACTTTCTACATTAACATTAGAACATCACATCTCTAATGCAACACCAATTGTTTTAGAATTTTATTTCTTATTTTTTAATTTCTTAGAATTTAAAATTTTTTGAAAAAATTTTATTCGCACCCCTTCTAAATTACCATTTCTTCAAAAACATTTCATCTATAATCAAAAACATCACTTATACCTCTTTTAATTTATAGTTAAATATTATTGACACCTCCTGTTATTAAACTACTATTTATAACACAAATAAATTATTTAAAATACCAAAGTTACCCTTATATAAAACTCCAAACAATCATTCTACATAAAATTTGAGTTAATTAAACAAAAAATTTACATATTAAAATTTGAGTTGATTAAATTTTTGTTTACATTAAAATTTGAGTCGATTAAATTTTATTTTTTTTACGTATTAAAATTCGAGTCAATTTAAACTCTACTTAAACTATTAACCCTGATTAAAATTCACTTCGAGTCAATTAATATTTATAATATTTTATTTATTAAAATTTAATTCAAGTTAATTAAAATTTATTTTTTACATAATAAAATTTAAGTCAATTAAAATTTTTATTCTTTTATATATCAAAATTCGAACCTATTAAAATTTAATTCGAGTTGATAAAAATTTGATTTGAGTTTTGAATAGAATTTTAATTTGTTCAAATTTTAATACGTAAAAAAATATAATTTTTAATTTACTCAAATTTTAATACATAAAAAATAAATTTTAACTAGTTCAAATCAAATTTTACCCAGCCTGAATTTTAATTTGTATAAAAAATTTAAAAAAAATAGAGAAGCTCTCATTGAAGATATATTTATTTAGAAGGGGTTTGGATGAAGTTTTTCTTAAAATATATCATGAGTAATTTAATAAAATTGTATTCTAATTAACACTTTTAATTTGACAGAGATGTTAAGAAAGATTCAAAAAATAGAAGAAATGTTCTTATTGATATGATAAATTAGAAAAAGTGTGATTGAAATTTTCCAAAATTTTTGAATTCAAAATTTAAGACACCCTGTAATCAGACTTGACATATTTCATTGGTGACTAGCCATTAACTCATCAATAACTAACTATTATTTATTCAGTTAAAAAAAAACTATTATTTATTAAAATTTATCCAAAAAAATTACTTTTTATCATCCAAAAAAAAAATATAATTATTTATTTAATTTCTCAAGTGATAAAAAAATTTAAAAAAAAACACACGAATTTTAATCCGGATTCCGGTGGGCTACTAGTATATACATACAACAGTGTGTGTGTGTGTGTGTGTTTATGCAGATATTCTGAAAGGAGGAATGGAAAGAGTTTTCACCTTGGTAAAGCGGGAACTTTTCTTTGCTCATCGTCTGAACTCTTTTCCGCTGCGGATGGTTCGGAAGTATAACCAACGTAGCTATCTACGAATGGTAGATTCCGTGACATGCCTCTATCAGGAGTTCAGGAGTGGGGGTTAATCCGTTGGTGTTGGAGTTCGGTCCTGTCTTTTGTTTTTCTAAGTGGAGTATCAAAAGTACCTATAATAGTAGTATATTTGTACTTGCTCTTTTCTAGACGGTAAGAACCGCAATTGAAGAGAGGCTTCGTCTCTTGACTCTTGGGTCTTGGCGGCCAGTGGGGTCCTCACAAACACGTGTTCCAAACGCGTCCAAAGCCGAGTGATTCACACGCCAAGACAACTACACAAGCCAACACAAACCAAGGATTGACAACCTCTCTTACAATATGTTTGATACAGGTAGAAATAAAGAATAGAATTGAATAATTAATTTTTATCTGATACATAAAATGGTGCTAATAAGAATATTATTTTATTTTATTTTTGAATAATAAATTTAGATCAAAGTTAGAATAATATATATAAATGAAAAAATTTTAGGCACTCTCTTTCTAATTTACTATATCTTTAAAGATATCTCCTCTATTAGACCTGACAATCGTGTCGAGTAAAACAGTTTCGTGTCGAGTGGAACGGATTTGTATCAAAAAACTCTTCATGCATATCCCATTCGTTTATATAAATGAGTTCAACTATCTCACATATACATGAATCGTTTATTAGATGTGTTATCCGATACAACTCATGTGTCATCCATTAAATAAGAGAATATATTAGAGTATTTCGAATTCACACGAAAAATCATCAACACTAATGATGCACAAATTGGTTGTTATGCAAAATCAATAGTCAAGTGTATGAACGGGTGGAGTTAATGAGCAATAAATAAAACAATCAANTGCCAAACGCGTCCAAAGCCGAGTGATTCACACGCCAAGACAACTACACATGCCAACACAAACCAAGGATTGACAACCTCTCTTACAATATGTTTGATACAGGTAGAAATAAAGAATAGAATTGAATAATTAATTTTTATCTGATACATAAAATGGTGCTAATAAGAATATTATTTTATTTTATTTTTGAATAATAAATTTAGATCAAAGTTAGAATAATATATATAAATGAAAAAATTTTAGGCACTCTCTTTCTAATTTACTATATCTTTAAAGATATCTCCTCTATTAGACCTGACAATCGTGTCGAGTAAAACAGTTTCGTGTCGAGTGGAACGGATTTGTATCAAAAAACTCTTCATGCATATCCCATTCGTTTATATAAATGAGTTCAACTATCACACATATACATGAATCGTTTATTAGATGTGTTATCCGATACAACTCATGTGTCACCCATTAAATAAGAGAATATGTTAGAGTATTTCGAGTTCACACGAAAAATCATCAACACTAATGATGCACAAATTGGTTGTTATGCAAAATCAATAGTCAAGTGTATGAACGGGTGGAGTTAATGAGCAATAAATAAAACAATCAATAATAAAGCTGTAAATAAGGAGCCAACACAGAAAATTATAGTGGTTCGGTCCGGGTGACCTACTCTACTCTCGAGAATGGCAGCGGTGGCCTGAGTCTTTTATTAATAAATAAAGTCGCCAGAGAGTATTCTTCAGGGGTATTACAATGCCTTTAAGAGAGAGAGACTAATGAGTGTGGGATGGTGTNGAATAATAAATTTAGATCAAAGTTAGAATAATATATATAAATGAAAAAATTTTAGTCACTCTCTTTCTAATTTACTATATCTTTAAAGATATCTCCTCTATTAGACCTGACAATCGTGTCGAGTAAAACAGTTTCGTGTCGAGTGGAACGGATTTGTATCAAAAAACTCTTCATGCATACCTCATTCGTTTATATAAATGAGTTCAACTATCTCACATATACATGAATCGTTTATTAGATGTGTTATCCGATACAACTCATGTGTCACCCATTAAATAAGAGAATATGTTAGAGTATTTCGAGTTCACACGAAAAATCATCAACACTAATGATGCACAAATTGGTTGTTATGCAAAATCAATAGTCAAGTGTATGAACGGGTGGAGTTAATGAGCAATAAATAAAACAATCAATAATAAAGCTGTAAATAAGGAGCCAACACAGAAAATTATAGTGGTTCGGTCCGGGTGACCTACTCTACTCTCGAGAATGGCAGTGGTGGCATGAGTCTTTTATTAATGAATAAAGTCGCCAGAGAGCATTTTTCAGGGGTATTACAATGCCTTTAAGAGAGAGAGACTAATGAGTGTGGGATGGTGTAGTGTGTGTAGGGATCTCAAGACTATGAGAGCATGTCCTCTATATGTAGAGGACTTTCATTATATAGACATACCAAGGCTGTGAGGGGGTGACGTAAGGAAGGAGTCTTTCACTATCTTGGTAAGTATAACCTTAATAGGAATAGATCTTCGCATCCCGATATTCTCTCGCTCGTGTCCCTATTCTATCAGAAAATGATCTTGATCTCGGTTGATCCTGATCTTGAGATTGGACTTAGAGTGGTGTGGACTTGAATTTGCATTGGAGTAGAGAAGAGGGACATGAAGGCAAGCCATGGCGGCGCCCTCTTAAAGAGCACCTGGGTNATCCCATTCGTTTATATAAATGAGTTCAACTATCACACATATACATGAATCGTTTATTAGATGTGTTATCCGATACAACTCATGTGTCACCCATTAAATAAGAGAATATGTTAGAGTATTTCGAGTTCACACGAAAAATCATCAACACTAATGATGCACAAATTGGTTGTTATGCAAAATCAATAGTCAAGTGTATGAACGGGTGGAGTTAATGAGCAATAAATAAAACAATCAATAATAAAACTGTAAATAAGGAGCCAACATAGAAAATTATAGTGGTTCGGTCCGGGTGACCTACTCTACTCTCGAGAATGGCAGCGGTGGCCTGAGTCTTTTATTAATAAATAAAGTCGCCAGAGAGTATTCTTCAGGGGTATTACAATGCCTTTAAGAGAGAGAGACTAATGAGTGTGGGATGGTGTAGTGTGTGTAGGGATCTCAAGACTATGAGAGCATGTCCTCTATATGTAGAGGACTTTCATTATATAGACATACCAAGGCTGTGAGGGGGTGACGTAAGGAAGGAGTCTTTCACTATCTTGGTAAGTATAACCTTAATAGGAATGGATCTTTGCATCTCGATATTCTCTCGCTCGTGTCCCTATTCTATCAGAAGATGATCTTGACGTCGGTTGATCCTGATCTTGAGATTGGACTTGGAGTGGTGTGGACTTGAATTTGCATTGGAGTGGAGAAGAGGGACATGAAGGCAAGCCATGGCGGCGCCCTCTTAAAGAGCACCTGGGTGGCGCCCCCTTGGGCGGCGCCCACTTAGGCAACGCCCCCCTTTAGGGATACTTGACGCCTCTTGGTTCCTTTGGTGCTTTGGACTCCTTCCTGATAGGTTGACCCAACTTCGATTTGGGCTTTCCTTTGGACTTTCTCTATTTATATTTATTGGGCTTGACCCAGTCAATTTTGGGCTCATCATTTGCCCCTTATGCCTCAAGCTTCTGACTTTTGTGAAAGGAAGGAGTTGTGGGCATGTGCTTCGTCTTCATCGGAGTAAGTTGAATTTTTTTTTTGCATTTCCTTGTCTTTAGGACTTCACTTTATTCATCGGTATCGAAAATTTTTATTTTTATTTTTTGGGCCTGGGCGCTAGCCTCTTTTCTCTCTCCTTTTTTTTTTTCTTTGGCTTGGGCCTCCCTGGGTGCTGAGTCTGCTGACTCCTTTCTTTTTTTTTTTTTCTTTTTTTCTTTCCTCTCCTTGCTTGGGCGCCGCCCTTTGCTTCTTCCTTTTTTTTTTCTTTTTTCTTTTTTCCTTTGGTTTTGGTGTGAGCGCCGTCCTTTGCTTCTTTCTTCTTTTTCTTTTTTCTTCTTTTCCTTTGGCTTTTGGTCTGGGCATCGCCCTCTTGGACGCTGGCCCTTCTCACCTCTTCTCTCTCTCTTTTTTTTTTGGCTTCCTTCCAAGCTTCTCTGAGAAACTACTTAGTCTAGCTTCTTCAAGAAGCTGTTCAACAAGCTTCTTTAAGAAGCTTTAGCAAGACTTCTTCAAGAAACCACTTCTTCTTCAATTTAAAGGGTCCTTTAATTCTTCACTGTTCATTTCCTTCTTTCATTCCGTACTCCTGCTTCTCTTTTTCTTTCTCCTTTATTGTTCAAATCAAGACCATGGAGACAAGGGGGCTGAACAGTCGCAGAGGAGAGGAGCCAAGAGGAGGCGCCCAAGGGGCTGCCAAGGGTGATGGGGCACTGGGTCTTGGCGAGGAGCGGCGGGTTGACGTAGCAAAGGTCCTTGTGGGCGGCGCCAGGGGCTTGGGCGACTCCCTTTTGGGCTTTGGTTCCTCCGGTCCTTTTCCCAATGGTGGTTTGGGAGCGATCTCGGTAGCTGGTGAGAGACCCTTTGGAACTGTTAGCTCGAGATTAGGTACAGGCGAAAAGGCTCCAAACAATCCTTTCTGTAAAGTGGGAATGACCCGAGGTGTCAAAGGACAGCAAAGAGGGTCATTAAGAGAGTCAAGCGGCACTTTAGGCACCTCAGACAGCATCCATGGTGCACAGGATGGCGCCCCAGGCTCCCCAGTTGGCGAGTCAGGCATGGTGCAATACACCCTTCGTGAGCACAAGAAGTGGTCGATCATCGATTTGGATGATATGAGCTCTCAAGGTATGTTCCCAGTATTCTTTTTACTCTTCTATTCACACCGTTACTTTCTTTAACAATGGGCTAAACCTACTTTTTGTAGGTATTCGCTCAGGCGAGAGGGAGACTGTTGGGGATCCCGATGGAGGCCCAATTACTGATAGGGGCGACTGTTCCAAGGTAGCCTCTGTATTTAGCTCCTTTCAAAGTGATAAATATATTACGGAGTTAGCTTCCTTGTACAGCATTCCACCTTCATTACTGTGTCATCATGCGGAGATTGATGAGTTAGCTTGCAGCGATTCTCTGGATGAGATTGTTCTCTACAAGGGGACATTAGAGGCGGGCCTGAGATTCCTGATTCCCAGGCCCATATGCCGGGTCCTG